CATATGTTTTGTGATCATATGTTTTCGTGTTGGATGATTTTTGCTGACTAAAATTTTGCCAGTACAAAATGAACGCTTCTCTTGCATCAAAATAAACGCTTGCTCTCTCAATTTTTATGTGTTGGATAATTTTTTGTCGTTATCGAACGCCATCCAGTAAAAAATTGGAAAAACTTTTACAAATTTTTGACTTGTCGAACGCAACTATTATTTAATAAAAATGTAATTTTTCCAAAATTTTGCTATATCGTAAACTAAGTCGAAACTACTTAGTAGAAGTCTTAAATGCGACTATGAGTAGAGGTAAATTTTAAGTTGGTACTTAAATTTAAGTTGCAACTTTGTTAGTTTCGACTTACCACCACCTTATATAAATTCGACTTTAATTATGCTCTTGAAGTACCACCATCGGGTCATGTACCCTATAATCTCGAACATATGAGTTTGACAGCTGTCATCAAAAATGCAGCGAGCGGTTTGTTATCTAGTGGTTGCAAACTATAGATAGTGGAAACCACCGATTGTTGGCGATAGTTTTTCTGCCACTATCGATTGTGTCGATAGTTACTCTCTGCCGACAGAGCAGCGCTATCGACAGTTTGCGTTTACACAACTTGGGGTTTTACATAGGACGATTTCGAGAAGACAATAGCAATACATTCACACTTTCTACTAATACATTCACACTTCTCTACTTCTCTCATTCAGCCGAATTCTGAATTCCCAGGCATTTTCACCGAAAACTTGGGAGGAGGAAATTCGAACTTCGAGAGAGCTGTTTGACACGGGTTTGAAAGCTTAACTCCGCCATTTAGTATAAAAAGTACTCGGGGAATTTTTATTATACTAGGAAGGGGAAAAGAAAGAAAACTCCTAGGGAGTTTCTGTTCAGAAACGGCCTGATTGTCTTCGTCAATGTCTTTGATTTTTCGAAGACAGAGAATTAGACAGTAAATTGGACTATTCGGTCAAGTCTTGGTTAATTTGAGAAAAAGAGGCAAGCCACAATCGCAACAAATCGCAGAATTATGAAAAAGTGATTTGTGTTTGTGTATTTTAGTTAATAATATGAAATTCACGCCAAACGACACTAACGGCGGTTGCTGAAAAATGTATTGTCTATATAATTGTCTGAACGTCTACTTTATAGTACAATTTCTAATTATCTAAGTTTTTGGTTTCACATATTTACTTATTTCTCAATTATCTACGTTCTTTGGTTTGACATATTTTATTTTATAATGATAGTATCGATAGTCATGTACTGTCGGTAGTCAGCAGCATCGATACTATCGATAGTGCCGTCGATAGTTTACCACCCCTAGTGTCATCTTTTTCGCTGTGCTGTTGTGCATTGTTTTTTTTTTGTAGATCTCGAAATTTATGTTTTTGTAAAAACATAAAACATTTAACAAATCCAATATTTTATTGAGCATGTGAAGCAGTCAAAAATACTAAGTTTCAAGAGGTAAGAAGATAGTGAACACAATTTTTTCAGTTATCTATATTTTTCGGTCCACTTGTTGCATAGGTCTTTGGTCAATAAAAAATTTTTTTTTTGATAATTTTTAGTTATTTGGCCACTGTTTTCTTATGGTTATTATCTAGGTGGGCTTTCAACCCTATTCAGAAAGAAGTTCTACGCAGAAATACGGCTTCTTTTTATGGCAATACAGAAAGGAGAGGGTTACCATCCGTAATTATCTAGGTGGGCTCTCAACCCCCAAATTGGTCAAAATTTTGGAAAGGGGGTACCATTAGACGCGTCTGGTCCCCACTAACAAGAATCCAAAAGCGGAAATTAACTTTTTTTACCCGATCAAAAGTTATTAACAAAAAATTCGTTGAAAGCCCAACTAAATAATTACCTTTTTTTTAGTGCCGCGGAGGAGGAGGGGGCGATATCCAACCAACTAGAAAGACTTGGTAAAAAAGTCACTCCTGACCCCTCGAAACCTTCCACAGTCCCCTCGGGAACCATTAGAAAATGGTCTAAAATTTGCTTTTTGACATCGGTAATATAAACTCGGTAAACAGTATTTTTGTGCAGAACACCTTTCGGTGTTGGTGGCCTACGGCCGCGCTTGATAAATAATCCTCATCAGTCCAACTCCTGCTAGGCTGACCACAGTATTTTTGGCTAGCCATCTCTTCGTAGGCTAGGGCTGCCATAGTCCTAAACCCTTCGACCAGGACACTTATCATCCAAATACAAAACGAATATATAAGTAAATATGGTGCCAATATATTCGCTATATGTACAGTTGCTTTGTTTCTGATATTATAAGCAATGTATTTTTGTGGTACCACCTCCAGCAAATTTCTGCATATCCTACAACGCGCTTCATGATCCATTTTTGCCATTTTATGTTTGCATAACCTGAAGATAATTTAGGTAGACTGTCTTAAGTGAAGCTTTTCTAAAAGGCTTACCCAACAAGGACTGAAAAAAGTGCTTCCCTGCATGCTCCCTAGAAAGGTGTTTCCTATTTACAATTTACCCGAATGTACTTAAATAAATGTTTATATTACTTAGCATTACAAATAGGCATTTAAAGTCTAAATAAAACTTTTTGATATGAACCTTAAATAAACTCCTTAAAGAAGTATGATTTTTATGAATTAATAAAAACTTTAAAAGAACTTCTTCAGAAGTCGTCCTACAAAAGCTCTTCTGGAAGCTCTTTTTTTGAGTAGCGAAAGCAGAAGCCCTACAACTTGTGCTACTCCATACAAAAAATGAAGGAGAAAGGAAAGAAAGGCCTTTTTGATAAGATTTTAGCTCCTGAAATTACCTTCTGGGTAGTACTTACTTATGTATGACCCTTCAGCCTTGTACCTGATCAGGAACTTGCACTTTTTTAAATTTAGATTTTAACCAAATAAACTAAACAGAAAGAAGATAAGCTCACCAGATATTCAACATGTTAGAAAAAACGTTTCATTATCAAATTGACAGAAAGCTTAACATTTTTTTTTTCATAACAAAATCTGCTAAAAATTAGAGGAGTGTCTGCATTCACCTTGACTAAAACCAGAAAAATTTAAGTGTGGACCAGGACACCAGGACAATTTGTCTAAATCAGGACAAATCCTGGAAAACCAGGACGTCTGGCAGCCCTATCGTAGGCGGCCTTCGCACCCTCTTTTATTGCCAAAGGTATACAACATTTCTTGTGCAGAACTCACTCCGAAATTCACAAAAAAGTGCATATTTCAGATCGAATTTATTAAAAATAGAGAACCAAAATTACAAAATTACAGTTTAAAATTAGACCCTTGACAACAAGTATGTGTGGTCGGGTCACCAATTCGGACACACTAGCCCGAAATCATTGCGCGAATAAGAGCGCGGTTACCCTCGAACGTGTACGTAGCGTAGCATGGAAGAACGGAGAAAGATATCAAGTGTGAGAGAAGCAACGTCTACGTCACGGTGTTGCGGTGGTGAGTTTTTGTTAACACGCGGATCCCATAAGATAGATCCCTGTCAGCTGACACGTTCTCCGTTTTTACGTCCGTGGGTAACTGCGCTTTAACCCGTTCTCGAATATTTCAATAAAGAGTGAATCTAAAACGGTGTTCCCGTGAGACGATTTTCCAGGTAATTTTGAAGGCGATTAGTTGAAAGGCCGTTCACACTAGGCGGTTGTTGTTTTCAAACAAAAGTGACCTGTATAATCGCCTCATATAAACACCGTATACGTGCGAACTAGTTTATATCCGTACAAACATACATAATCTGTATATAATATATATACATATGTATACATATTATGTATAATGAATTTTTAAATTTTTGTTCAACAATAAAATATGCATTTACATACACCCAGTTGATAATTTCGGAGTTAAAAGCCTTTCCGAAAGGCCTTCCTGAGAGTCCAGAGGCCTTCCACTCTACATTCCATTCTCCTTTCTTTTTTGTATGGAGTGGCACAAATTTTGAAGGGCTTCTTCTTTCGCTACCCATAGAACGCCTTCCAGAAGGGCTTTTATAGGAAGTATTTCAGAAGACCTTTATTATCTTTGTATGAAATGCACTTAGAAGCTGCCTCAATTATTGAGGCACCCCCAGGTTTCGTGATGGGATGGAATGGTTTTAAGAATAAACTTCTTCATTACAGATCTACGCCCTGGCGGTTATTTATATCACGGGCATCAAACCACGTTCAATTTATTGGTGGCAGTTAAGTATGTATGTACAATGTACACTGTATGACCGGTGAATTAGTATTTATCCACCACTTTCTGAAATTCCATGTTTGTTCTAAACAAAATACATACATACATTGGTGAAAAGAAAAATACAAACGCGATGTTTTGACCATTTTTCTTTGTTTGCTTACTGTTTAATAATTTTGTATGAAAGTCTAGCTCATTAAATAAAAAACGCATAGAAATATGGATTCCCCACTTTGTGAAATAATTAGAAAAATTGCAGCAAAATTTCAAACTTTTTATTCAGATTTTAAAGTGCCAGGCTTCCAGTGGATAAGAATTCGCCTTGATTTTTAATATTTTTTCTTTTTACTGACTGTGTTAGGCACTTTCTTCCATATAAAAGTTAGTGTGATACTTATTTTTTAATGTTCCAAATAAAACACTTTTAAATTTATATTATAAATTCAAATTTTTAAGTAATGAAAACGTTGACTTAAGTTGATAATAGCTTTTTTAATGTTATTCCCAACATTCGCATTCCGAAAATTCGCATTCGCATTCGCGAATGTGAAAAATATGACATTCGAAACATCCCTAGTGCATACTTATATGTACATTTGTGTGCGTTTGTCCATTTCTCGCTGTGGTGGTGCTTTCATTTGTGTTTGTTTGCCGATTAGAGGCCGATTTTATTTTGTTTTTTAAGTCGTTCTTTCCAGCATGTCGCTCCCGCATCTAAACGATCGACTGGTCACAGCGTTAATATAATCACCGTCGTTTTGTTATTTCGGTGTATTCTCCACACTGGCTAGCTGCTAAATTTCAGTCATTCATTCGGTTCCACGCTGGAACGACGTACACCTGCTGCTCGTCTGGTCTGATCGCTCATGATCGCATTTCGTGCACAAAATCTGTGATTGTATTTGTGAGATTGTGTGTGTGTTTTAATAGTCGTTATTTTTTTAATTTGTTCCTCTTTTTTTTTGATATTCAATACGTACATATGTAAGTATGTATGTACGTATCCAAAAACACAAATTTTATTAACGAGTTACTTGCATTAGTTAGAATTTGGTACATCAGGCTAAAATCGGTTCATACACACAAATATATAATTGTTAAATTTAAACGATAATACATTAAAAGATAAAATAAGCCTATCATCCTTCGGTGAATTCAGTAGACGAAAAGTATTGAATAACCGACCAAACAAGTCTGCAAGTCACTCTGCACTCTAAGCGTCACAGACTTTTTAAAGAGAAGCAGAGTTAAAACGCGAGCTGTCTCACTGGAGTACGGACAGCTAAGTTGCTTGAATACATTTATTATCTAGCTCAACGTTGTTGCGGAGTAAATTTTTATTTTTTTTTTCGAAAAATTAAAAATACGCCGAATAAATAGGTAAGCAAAATCGGGCGGAAATATCTATAAAAAATCATCGCATAAGCTTCACTTTATTTCGTCTTTGCTGTGTAAGCAGCTTGTGAAATGCATATGGGTATGATCCTAATATCAGGCATTAAATTTAAATTGGCCTTAAAACAAGCAAATATATATTGAAACTTTGAATTGAACTTGTGGCTCCTCGATACCATTTCAAAAGCACAAAATTTGTTGTTATTTATCAGTCATTATCATGCGCCGTTGGCTTTAATGCGCCGACGATGTGGCGGTCAAGGTTATGCCATTCGAACACCCCACAAACTCGCGCTTACATATATATGTATGTATGTATGTATGTACATAAAAGAGCATTCGTTCAAATTCTTTTTATTATGTGTACATACATACTACGTATGTGTGTATATGTTTGTACTCAGCCGCATGCACACAAATTATTTAGGTGTTTAAAGTTCATTTCGCTTTAGTTTTTAATGCTCACTTTATTAAATGTTTCTATGTTCACCTTTGTTTTTTGTCCACTTAAAGGTCTTTTAGCAAAAAGGGGCAGGCAAAAACAGAAAAACATACATATCTGGCCGATCCTTAGCAACTGAGCCAAATTCCATTTTTCCGGTTCGATTTGTTTCCAATAAAACGATATAAATAACAGTGAGTCGCTTAACAAATGCATCTTTATAACAAAGGATATTTAATAACGAAGTGCATTTTTTTTTTTTTGAATTTGTGTTGCTCTGTAACTCTAAGTGCCCAAAAATGTTAACGATCGTTGCGCTTATCTAATGGAATACTTTTATGTATCGCCCAATTTACGTTGCACATTTGTTTTCCTTATCTTAATCACACTTACAACCCAAGCTTAAAAGGAAAAGTGCAAATGGCATCCTTTGAAAAAATACATACATACATACATATGTACTATTTATGTAGTCAATCTGATCGCTGATTGTTTTGAAGAGTTAATACTATTTTATCATCTTCCCGCGCATGCGTTCAAGGATATCTAAATTTAAAGGCTAGATCTGATAGAAATCTTCTCTACTCTTTGTTAATATTTTTGCACAAATTTAAAATTATTGCATCATTTTTGCATACTTATTAGTATACTAGACACGCAATTTATAAACGACTATCCCATTTACCACGCTAAGGTGCAATTTAAATGTCAGAAGCTTTAATAACCTTTATTGCGCATGTGAAACGTTTCGCTGCAATTAAATTAATACAAATTTGTTAAATTTATTAAATTGAAGAGCATGAGCTATTATTTAGTCTTCAAATAACATACTGCGGGAAGTATAAACTTTTATTTTGAAGTTAAAAGTAAGCTTTTTGGTTTATTAATCGAAGAATGATGTGAGCAGTATTGAAAAATATGTACAAGCTAAGCAAAATGCATAGCAGAAAGTGGCAGCAGTAATTTCATATCGAGCCTTAATCGCGAAAATAACGTAAGCGGCATTTTCTTCAAAATTTTCTTTTTGATGCCGAAATGCTCCTAGAGCAACCAAAGGCATGCATATCCGCATACATTCTTTTTGGTGTCACTTACGTTTACATATATCTCAGTTACGACGCGATACATACATACATACATACATACATATGTATGTAGGTGGTTGCAGCTGCAGCGCAAAGCGAAAAGATGGTCAACTCAAATCTTTTTGCGCGCCTTGACTAGTCGGCTGGTTTACTATTTATTTTGATTCATCTAAATTCGAATTTTCATGCAGAAACATAAAATTTACTTACATTACTAATATTTTTAAAGCTAAATATATAAAAACCACATCAATTTTGACGAGTTAAATAACAGTAACAAATTGTTTTCATGGCGTTAATTTTGGCATACCTTTTGCGTTTGGCGCTGTGCTGGCAAAGTTATAAATGTCAGCTTAACAGTAACAGTCACTACTACCAACTGTGACTGTGTTAAAGTAGCAGCGACAATTACATATCGAGAAACTGCGACCAGTTATTCAAGACTAAAATCTGATTAATGTTGTTTGATATTAGAATTTCATATCATTAAAAAATAGTCTGTGATGCCAATAAATAAAAAATGCCCAAATAAATAAATAAATCCCTGTTTGCAACGTTTTTGTCACTGTTTTTGTCACAGTCACGGATGAAAATCACTGTGACTGCAAAGTCACAGTCACAAATAACGTTGTTGTTCCTCAAAAGTCACGAGATCTCCCATCTCTACTCGTGATATCACTCGTCAAAGTGTGCAAAAATTTTGTGCTAAAATCTTGTTGTAGTTTCCGCGTAATGCCCTCCATGCAGCTCTCAAGAAAAAAATTGCCGTTATTTCGTGTGTGTGTCCAAGGAATTTTGACATTTTTGATACTTCACAGCCGGTTGCCTCACTCTTTCCTCAAGAAATAATGGAACGGGCATATATTTCTGTTGCAAACCTGGGTTGCCTTGTGCTCTTTTTTCACAAAAAACTTTAGAAAAGCGTAGTAGAAAGCGTAGCTATTTCCTTAAGAACTGCCTACTGCCTTAAGGAAATTCGACTCACATCATTTTATATGGAGTTTTTTTGCTTTTCTTGAGAGCTGCATACAGGTCTTAAGAAGACAATATACATCTCTTTCTCCATCCTTTAGAAGCAAATTATAAACTTTAGACGCGTTGGCTGAAAATCTCATTTTTCAATTATGACAGCCTTTTAGTAAAAGGTCGATAAGTATTTAAAACAGCGAATGCTACGGTAGGATATCTCCGAGAACCGAATAAAATCCACGTTTTGCAGCAAAATTTTTAAACTGGAAGATTTCAGCACGAGAATAAGGACATAGGTCACATTGTGTCTATAACAGTTATCAATTAAATACATGCACATTCCTCAATCAAAGCATGAGAATAGTTAAAAAAAAGCAGTTGATGCAATTAAAACTTATTCAACAATCTACAATCATTTTTTTTCTAAATACCCACATATGTATTTAAGTACATACATATGTGTATTGATAAATATGTTGATTATATGCAAAAAAGAAAATGAATAGTAGGGTCTTACAATAATTTTATAAATAGCGACATTTCGAAAAAATGCACTGCCATTCGGAAGTTCTAGACTAATGAATTTAGATAAGAATGGGTTTAAATCTCCATGATTAAATTAATCTTTTCATCAAAATAAACGCAAATGTTTTAAAAATATATACATATATGCATAACGAATATAAATATGTATATAACCTAATGCTATAACAAAAAAAAAAAATAGTACACGTGTAAATATATTTATGTAACTTGGTTAATTTTTATTTATTTAGGCAGCGATTTTATTTGCTTTAACTATTGCGCTTATTTAATTTTAAGTAAGTAAATGTTCATAAAACTAGAGCTGAAATAAAAATTAGATGAAAGACGAGCATGTGTACCCAGCAAAATTAATTATTTCACGAAAGTAATCAAATCATTACTACAAACACATCCACACACGCAAATATAAACTAGTAGACTGTTATCAACGTGATGAAGAGCCATATACATTTTTATCCGATAACAAATTTTGTTGTCAAGTATTATGGTGCAATTGAATGCGAATGTACATTAGGGTGGTCCTTAAATGTAGGAAGCAAATTTTTACATCAGATCTCCTGGGACACGCCTTAACCGTCTCCAATCGGGATCAACATTTGTGAGTGATATCTGTGACCGTGGTACTACCGATTGAAGAGGTGAGACTGAAAAAAATCGCTCATTTGATTTTTTAAGGACCACCCTAATGTACACACATACAGTATCCGTCATATCTATAGCATCCCCATTTCAAATTGTTTGATATTGTTGTTACACAGTTCTATTTAGCCCATTAAATTTTAGTCTGATAATGTGCAAATTTCAAGTAGCTAAAAGTTGCCGTTGATTTTTTAGTTTTTTTTGTTGTCGTATTTTCCCATATACTAGCGTTTACTCTTTGATGCGAAACTGTGTGCGTTGGGAGCGAAAATTGGCAGGTCTTTAGAACAAATATATAGCACCGTTATGGCGTCGTTTCGCACAAACGCAACGCAAGGCAACAAAACAAACGCTAATTTTTTCCTTTTGCATTTTCAATAAAAAGCGTGAACTGCCTTAATTTATTTTTATAGGGATGAAACCCGCAACACCTTCGGCGAAAAAAAAATCTAAAAAATCAACGGTAACTTTTAGCCACTTGAAACTTACACATTATTAGACTAAAATTGAATGGGATATAAAATTGAGTACTCAGAAAAATTCTAACACTTCTGAGGAAAAAGTTTGAAATTTGGGTAAAAATTTGTTGAATTTTTTTGAAAATTTCTAAAAAGTTTTATGCTTGGGTTTATATGGGCTTAGTTAGAGAATGAACTGTATTACAGCGGAATTATAAAATTTGTTATATTTAAAGACTTTCACCAAAATATTTCCAAAATATTTTGGAAAAATATATAAATTTAAGTTGGCTGAACCGATTTGAAAATACCTCCAAAAATCTCATCATTTTGATTTCGTTGATAAAATGTCTAAACTTTTATGTGCACACCATTTGATCTTAAACCCTTCTGTCATTGAAGTGATTTTTGGGAAAAAATATTTTTACAAATTAATTTTATTTATAAAAAATTCGATTTTTAGAGGTATTTTCCAATATTTTGGCGGAAGCCTTTAAATCCATATACCTAGGAGATTCACAACCTGTCGTGAGTGTCGTATTGTTTTATGTCCTAAAGTTTTTAACCGTTA